GCCCCCGACTTCTTGCAGTCCTACGTAGGTGACCTCCTCCAGATCCAGTAGGCCCCAGGCAGCTTGGACGGCATCCAGGGATTTACCCTGGACATTCCAAGTGAGGGCTGTAGCCTGAGTCGGAGGAGGAGACACGCTCCTTGGTTGTCACTCACGGGTAGTGCTACGCTCCAACCAGAGCTGCGGCAACTGATCCGGGGGGTACCCCGTCGCCTCGGCAAACTTGACTGCCGACACAGCCCAGCCAGTGTGCGCACCACGTGCATCCGTAAGCTGCACATCAGACGGGTGTCCCAACCCCCCACCGGAGAGAGAGGGGAGAGCAAGAGTTGGGACCTTCCTACGTACACATTGCCGCGCCAGTCAAATTCAGAAGACTGATGGGGCGCAGCCGGATTGTAAGGGCGAAGCCTGTCACAAAATTCCTTAGTCTGAAGCGAATTTTGTGCCTTTCTTCCGGAGATCTGTGTCTGGCTACCCACAAAACCGAGCCTTCACTCCCCGACACATTACTTTTCCATTTGTCCCTGCGCAGAAGCTTGAGGGTATCCATTTGAAAGGAGCGTCGGGCCTGCAGAGTGTCAATGCCGGGGGGGAATTTGAGGGTGATCCGAAGGAAGTTAGTGCGAGCAAAGGGCGTCCACATGGACTCCACAGCATCCCTGATCTTGCACACCTGAAATAACGACCGCGCTTCCTTCTCAGCTAGGTGTTTAGGAGCCGATTTCCACCCTCCCACTACAATCTGAAGGTCCATTTCCGTGTCGTGTGAGGAGCCCGATCCCCTTGGCGTCAGGCCGCCACGAGGGGTGCCAGCAGTTCTGACCTGTTCTTGCAGGCGTCTGACCTGCTGTTCCAACTCCTTTAGTTCCATGACCTGGGCTTCCAGGTCCCTGAGCTGGGATTGAGTGACTGCATCCGCAACCTGTGTCTCAAGGTCCTGTATCTTCTCCATGGCACGCTCATGCAACACATTATGGTGCTGAAGTGTGCCCTGCATGACATCCAGCCGCTGGGAATGCTGCTGAAGCTCCTGGCCCAATTGGACCATATCCCCACTCAACTTCCCCACAGAGTGCTGAAGAGTGTCTTGCTTAGAAAGCATGCCATGCATCCCCTGTTGAAGAGTTTGCACCGGGGGGGGGGGAACGTCCTCAGAAGCGCCAAAGAGGGAGGGCCTAGGAAGAGAGCCGGTAGGAGGGTATACTGACAAGGGTGCCCCTGTGCGGTGCAGTTGCTCCGGCCTAGGTGGTGGCAAGAGCTGATCACTGTCCTGGCGTGTCAGATCATGATGTGGGACCTCCCCGCCCCCCCCGCCCCCCCCCCCCAAAGTCCGGCAGACCACCTCCCACCCTGGGCCGTTTCGCCTCTGGCGGCTTGTCCTTCTTGGCCAGCGTGCCCAGGGGCAGATCCCCCCCCACGGCCGCACGCAGGGCTGCTTGTTCCGGCGACAGGACCTCAACACATTCATCCTCCTCCTCATTTCCCAAATCAGGCAGCGTTCGAGGCGTCAGAGATACCCCCCTCCAAGGTACAGTGGTCCCCTCCATACTGTCCGCCTCCCCGCCACTTGGCCCCGACCCAGCCGCCCCCCCACCAATGCCATCCCCTGCCGCTTCCGGGCCGGTGGGGACCCCAGCCTGGCGAAGTTCTTCCCCCCAGGCCTCAGCCATGACCCCAAGAGGAGCAGGAAGTCGAGAGCAGTGGCACGACAGGAACCCAAAGCGAGACGAAAGGGGGGAAGGAGTCAAGACTGGGTTTAGGTTTAGGATTTGGGGAAAAAGTGGAGGAACAGAAAGAAAAACCTGGTAGAGGTCATTTAGGGTTTAGGGTTTAGGGTTTAGGGTTTAGGGTTAGGGTTCAGGGCTTATAAGGTCTAGGATTCAGGGCTTAGAGATTAGGAGGTTTTGGCGGTACCTTTCAGCTATGCCCCCCCGCACTCCTCCGCGATCTTCCAGTGGAATCCCTAAACCCCAATCCCTAAACCCCAAACGCTAAACCCTAAACCCTAAACCCACTCCAGGCGTCCGATTGACTGGGGTGCAGGCGATGCAATCGCTGAAGATCCTTCACAAGTTATCTCTCGAAGAAAGCGTATCCTTTGTTCGGCCTATTCGGGAATGCAACCCTAGACCCTAGACCCTAGACCCTAAACCCTAAACCTAGGTTCTGTCAGCGGTTGACTAGCGCCCCCAGAATCAAAAGCCACCTGCGCAAAAGTTCCTGCGGCGTGACGCCGGATCCCAAAAACCAAGAGACTATCTCCTCAAACCGACCCAAGGCACCCCTTAAAAATGTACAAGGCCTCTATATTAGTACCCTAAACCCTAAACCCTAAACCCTAAGCCCTAAACCCTAAGCCCTAAACCCTGCCTCAGATTTCACGGGCGCCCAGATCGTGCCGACAGCCATAGAAAGGGGCGTCTGGCGGCCGTTCAGCGCGGCTTGTAGGATGGGCTCCTGGGGGGCTCTCACAAACCTAGTTCAATTTAGGGTTTAGGGTTTAGGGTTTAGGGTTTAGGGTTTAGGGCTGCACGAACCTAGCTCATGGCTGGGATTGGATTAGAACAATAATTTGCTATCCCTTATGGATTTTGAGGACCCTTGAAAAGTTTATTTTCTATTCCTTATGGATTTTGAGTACCCTGAAGAAGGCAAAATGTTACCCCACTCTGACAAAGGAACGGCCGCCGTGGCCGCGTCGAAGGCGAAGAAACCGAAACTTGGGCCAACTGCCCCGGGTTCACCTGAGCTTTGCTTTGAAGCCTTGAATAAACACATTATGAGTGGGTGGCTAAGCCCTTTTTTGCACATGGACTCCTTGCTGCCAGGAAACCCTAAACCCTAAACCCTAAACGCTAAGATGACCCCGAAGTACACGCCGAGTCACGGCAGGCATCATGCGTCTGGTCTTTCGCACAGCTTGAGCGCCGGCACGCTGGGCTTGCATCATGTTCGTCGACGTTTGCGAGGCAGGGATGCGGTGGGCTTGCATCACTTGCTGCGAGGTGTGAGAGGTAAGGCAGCAGGGGGCTTGCCGCACTTGCTTCGATGCGGGTGAAATAGGGCTACAGTCCGCAGTGCCCGGGAGTGCATGGACGACCTGTGTAGACAGAAGCGCATTCCCCTCGCGGGCTGGCAACAACGCTCTTGTCACGCGCAACAAGGAAGGGACCACCGGCTGCTTTGTGTGCGCTGCTGGAGTAGCACTTTCCGCCTTCACCCTGACCTAAGTCCAGGGGCAACCTAGGAACAGAAAGGGCCTCCCTTTCTATGGAAACCCTAAGAACTGCAAACAAAAAAGAAGGGTCCTACGCTGGTCCTAGGGACTTTCAGGGGGCCCGGACCCTTTGCCGTCGACTCATCAGTACCGGTCTCGGTGGGCGGCGGGCCCAGGGGCGTGAGACAGAGACCCTCCAGCAGCGGGACACCTTTGCCTTAGTTGCTGAGTTCATCAACCCCCCCCCCCCCCCAAAAAAAAATCTACACTTTCAGTTCCTACAAGGGATTATAGCATCGCAACAAATGCAAAGTGTACTCATTCAGCTACTAAGTTGCAGCTGTTCTCCGACTTCTCCTCGGTTCGCGGACCGGTGCTGTGAAGCCATGGCCCCCCAGGGCCCCCCAAGCCAACCTCCTCGTCGGTGTCTGGCCAAGTCGCCGCCGGGTCTTCGGCGCCGCTGCCTGCCACCGCTTGGAGGTTCAGGGTACTCAGAGGGTACTTACAGACCCAATTATATGACTGTGCTGATAAGGCCCCTTAAGTCCCCCTAAGTAGGTTATAAGAAGACTTTATGACTGGGGTTCTCAGTATACCCAGTCATGAACCTCCAAGCAGCATCGTCTCGGAAGCTTCGGAGTTCGAGTCGGGCTCGAAGGGCGCGTAGCCGGGGAAGCTGCGACAGCGCCGGAGAGCGCGCGAGACGCCCGGAGAGTCGTCAGGGACATTGAGGAACACGGCCGGCAAAGGTGGCAGGCGCGGTTGCAGGAAAGCCATGCTTGGAACTCTTGAAACGTCGCAGCCCTATACACCCCACTGTGGGCCCACAAATAGGCTCCAGCGGATTCTTTGAGTGGACGCGGAAAGCCCTCCAGCCATGCACAAAACACAGAGGTACAGCCCACAATGGCACGATACACATACTCAGTACATCTAGGCTGCCCAGTAACCAAGGCTTAAAAAGGGTGCCCTTTTTTGCTTGAAGGGGTTTATAAGGGAACCTAAACCCCCCAAAAAGGGAATAAGGCTACTACTGGGCATGCTAGACATACTGGGGGGGGGGGGGCCATCCGGGACTGCCCAGGCCCCAAGTTCAACAGCCACGTCTGGGGGGTCAAGGCATACGGCAATTTACAGCCTTGAAACCCCGACCTGGGCCATCAAAGTACCCCCCATACTGTTAGCCAATGGCCTCAAGATGAGGGTGTTCAGGGTTTAGGGCTTGGGGTTTAGGGTTTAGGGTTTGGGGTTTAGGGTTGCTGAAGGTGCCCAGCCCTATTCTAAATTCACTGGGGCCAGCCAATCCAGCTGAGCCCTATAAGCCCCTCAAACCCTAAACCCTAAACCCTAAACCCTAAACCCTAAACCCTAGACCCTTAACCCTAAGAAGCTTTCCCTAAACCCTAAACCCTAAACCCTGCTCCCGGTTCTGCATCCCTAAGCCCTGAAGCCCCAAACCCAAAACCCTAAACCCTAAACTAGACAAGGACGTGCGGCTCCCTGAAGAAAAGGGGGGGGGGGGGGGTAAACCCTAAACCCTAAACCCTAAACCCTAAACCCTAAACCCTAAACCCTAAACCCTAAACCCTAAACCCTAAACCCTAAACCCTAAACCCTAACCTTAGGGTTTAGGTTCTAGGCTAAGCCAGAGTTCAGGGCTTTCTGGGTTCAGGGCTCAGGGTTTAAGACTTGGAACGCCTTCGGGCTTCGGGGCCTAAGGGTCGGAGGACCCCAAACCCGAAACCCGAAACCCTAAGCCCTAAGCCGCCATCCAAAGTGCAGGATAGCAGGGAGACTCAGGAGCGCCATGGCTGTAAACTTCGCATCGTTCTGATCGATACCTTCGCGCGTGGCGCGAGGGACCCCTACTTGGAGGTTCAGGGTACTTCCAACACAGGGTACTTCTAACCCCAATTACAACTGTTACTGAGTAGGACAAAAGTAGTGGCGTGAGGGACGTTGTAAGGTGATGAAAGAGTTGACATCCCCTACTTGGAGGTCCCAGGCACTTCTTACCCCAATTGTGACTGGTATTATAAGCCCCTGATTCAGTCCTGCAAGTAGTTCATAAGTAGAGTTCTACTTGGTGTTGCAAGTACCCATGAAACCCTAAACCCAACCTCCAAGCTCCAAAATTCTTATACCATGAACCTCCAAGTAGGGCCTACTGTGAGCCTTAAATCCTTCACACCTGTAAGTTATAAAGGCCAGTGGCCTCTTTATCTGTTGCCCTTATACCTTAATATAGCCCCTAGATACCCCAACAAGAACCCCACACAAAACAGAAGCCCTACTTAAAGAGACCACCAACCAATGTAACCCTAAACCCAAAACCCCAAAACCCCAAAACCCCAAAACCCCAAAACCCCAAAACCCCAAAAACCCCAAAAACCCCAAAACCCCAAAACCCCGAACCCTAAACCCTAAACCTATAGCCTAAAAGTCTCAACCTTGAAATTCAAAACTCAAGGTTTCCAGGCATCTACAAGCGGTGGCTTGACTGCTGTGGCATCTTTAGGGGCTTAGGGTTTAGGGTTTAGGGTTACCCCCCCCCCCCCAACTCCAGCGGTACAGCAGCTTCAGCTTTACGGGAACAAGCGTCCGTTTTCTTGTGTAAAGGCTGCTGGTTGCCAGAAGTATTGCAGCAGTGTGCAAAACATTGGCTTCTTTGCTGCTGCGAAAATGTGTGAATGTGTGAATGTGTGTGTGTGTGTGTGTGTGTGTGTGTGTGTGTGTGTGTGTGTGGGTGTGTGCGTGTGTGCGTGTGTGCGTGGGTGGGTGTGGTGTGTGGGTGGGTGGGTTGGGTGGGTGGGTGGGTGCGTTGTGCGTGCGTGTGCGTGCGTGTGCGTCGTGCGTGGTGCGTGCGTGCGTGGCGTGGGTGGGTGGTGGGTGGGGTGGGTGGGTGGTGGTGGGTGGGTGGTGGTGTGGTGGTGGTGTGTGTTGTGTGGGGTGTGTTGTGTGTGTGTGTGTGTGGTGTGTTTTGCCTTTTTTTTTTTTATTGGGGGGGGGGGGGGGTGGGGGGGGGGGGGGGGGGGGGGGGGGGGGCGAGGGCTTTCGTCACAGGAGTTCTTCGCACAGACACCTCGCGGTCACAACATCTGAAGCTTTGCAGGCTTCTGGGGGCCGAGGGGCAAACGATGTCCACGAAGACCTTCTTGCGGCGCCGCCACAGCAGCAGCGTCAGGTAGTAGCCGAGGGCCCCAAACCTAGTTCATGGTTGGGACTGTGTTGAAATAACTAAACCTCTATTCCGAATTGAGTTTAAGTCTTTAATGGGATAGTAGTAAACATCTAAATCTCTATTCCTTATTGAAGTACCCTTAAAAAACTGCAAACATGTTGCTCCACTGTTAGACAAAGAAACAGCGCACACCAGGGATAGCGAACCCCTTCCGCCAGCCGCAACGGTAGTACCTTCAGTGGTGTTCAACTCTCGGTGGGCAATTCCCATTTCGGTTTTTTCGGGTTTAGGGTTTAGGGTTGAGGGTTAGGGTTTAGGGCGATAACTTTAGAATAGCCCTTTCTGTTAAGGGCATACATGCCCTTCAACAGCACCCTAGGCCCTATAGGTCCGAAGCTTGAGCCCGTACCGAGTATAGCGGGAACATCTCAAGGTATTAGGGTTTAGGGTTTAGGGTTTGGGGTTTAGCGTGGAGAAGCTTCACAATGCCATGGCCTCGAAGAGACCGAAAACGAAAGCGATCACCGCAGAGATCAAGCCAAACGCTGCTGCTGCGTATCCATTGTTAACCTGGTGGTTTTAGGGTTTAGGGTTTAGAGATTAAACGGATGTATTGAAAACTCCCACTCTAGTGACATGTGAAACTTGGGATGTTCCCCCCTATACTAACAGTCCTCAAGAGGGATTCTTGCACCCTCTAGTAGAATCCCTATTAAGGACTGGCAGTACAGGGGGGAACATCCCAACATAATACAGGGGCCTTGATAATTGGAACAGGGTTTTGGCGGTTATTCTAGTGCATTTATGAAAGGGCCATAGGGGAACTACCCCTAAGCCCTCAACCCTAGGTACTGTAATCCCAAAGCTCTTCTCAAAGCCAGGAATCAAGATAATTCAATACCCCCTCTCCCCCCCCCCCCAAAAAAAAAAAAAAAACAAAAAACTGCTCTCATTATTCAGGCCCACATGAAAACGCACAGAGCTCGGCTCAAAGGTCTAAACCCTAAACCCTAAACCCTAAACTCTATAACCCTAAACCCTAAACCCTAAACCCTAAACTCTATAATCGCAAAGCTCTGCTCAAAGCTGAGGAAGGTAACAAACCACAGGGTGGAAACCTTCGCCCACGGAGACGTGTGCCAGCTGTGGGACCAAAACTCATCAATCCGGTTTGTCATGAAACCTGGGTCAGGGTTTAGGGTTTAGGGTTTAGGGTTTAGGGTTTAGGGTTAAGGGTTTAGGGTCTAGGGTTTAGGGTTTAGGGTTTTGGGTCAAGCTAGTCGACGAAGAACTACCCAAAAAATAGAAACACGTTCTTCCTTTTCAGGGAAGTATATATAGGGATGGGTATCTTTCATTTGCTTCATGTTCACCCCAAGACGTGCTGTCAAAAGGATGCACTAAGACCCCGACACTTTCCAGATTCGATGCTTGGATTGGCACATTCTTACTATACTATAAGCCCAAACCCTAAACCCTAAACCCCAAACCCCAAAGCCTAAACCCAGTATAAGCCCAAAAGCATGACAAATGCGACCCGGAGGCTCTGCTTGAACAGTCCCCCTGCCCTGCCTCGGAAGGCCCTGCCGCAGCTCAGAAGCATCGTGTGCGCCCTAACGGCGCGGATCACTTCCTTCGGGTCAGCATGTGAGGGAAGATAATCCACCTAAACCCGAACGCGGTTTAGGGTTTAGGGTTTAGGGTTTAGGGTGGTTTAGGGTTGAGGGTTGTTTAGGGTTTAGGGTTTAGGGACTCGACCCTCACCTCAGAACCATAAGACAGGAGGACAAGCTCTTGTCTGTTGGCGAAGCAGCTTAGTAGCCCAGTAACCATATTAGAATAAGGGCACCCTTTGTTGGGTTGGTTACTTTAGAAGGGAACCTTGAACCCCTCAACCCTAAACCCTAAACCCTAAACCCTAAACCCTAAACCCTAAACCCTAAACCCTAAACCCTAAACCCTAAACCCTAAACCCTAAACCCTAAACCCTAACCCTAAACCCTAAACCTAAACCTAAACCCTAAACCACGGGGCTACCAAGGCAAGCTTCGGGGCGAAAAGCCCGCATCGTTTGCAAAGTCTGCACGATCGCCCCGACGATGTCCGTTCCTTGGCCCAGACGAGCAACATGCCTACATAAGGGTTTAGGGTTTAGGGTTTAGGGTTTAGGTTTAGGGTCATACATATATGGGGGGGATACGAGAATAGGGGTACCCTTCTGGAATTCCCTTTAATTTAAGGGGACAGAGCAACTACGAAGTTCCTACCTCCAACCCCTAAACCCTAAACCCTGAACCCTGAACCCTAAACCCTAAACCCTAAACCCCAAACTTCCTCGACCAGCCACCAGGAAAGCCCACCCCGTCCACGTCAACGTCGACTTGGTCCACCTCATCTAGTTCATGGTTGGGAGGGTTTTATAAATTCAAATGTATATTCCTTATTGGGTTCAAGTTAAACATGCAAAATGCTTCCCAACTATGACAAAGCGGTCCACCTCATCCACCGCTTGACCAAGGCAGTCCGCGGCGGGCGCCGCCATGAGGACGTCGACATCGACTTCGTCGATGTCGTCCACCTCCTTGGGGGCGAAGTAAACCCTAAAAGGGTTTATGGCTCATGTAGCTCAATAGGAAGTATAGAAGTCACTCTTAGTAGTCAGGGCATAACAGCACAATTCTAGGGTTCATGTCGTCCACCTCACCCGTCGGCTCGCCAAGCTGATTCGGAGAGGGCGGGGCCATTCTCCGCCAGCGCCGCTGGCTTGAAAAAAGGGTTTAGGGTTTAGGGTTTTGGGTTTAGGGTTTAGGGTTTAGGGTTTTAGCAAAGGCTCAACTGACACCACAGCAAGCCCCCAAGCCCTAACTGATACATGATCTCCAGTGCTCTCTGCAACCTCTCGTAACCGAGATTCTAGCACCACAGGCCTCCTACTTACACCCCTGAACCAGGAAGCTCCGCAGGGGGGACTCCTTGCCTCCCCTGCGCCAACTTCTGGGACTAGACTTGGGACTGCTTGGATGGCTGCGGAGTACCGAGTGTGGCTGAGATCCCTCCTCCCTGAGTCAGGGCCTGAACTCTAGACCCTAAACCCTAAACCCTAAACCCTAAACCCTAAACCCTAAACCCTAAACCCTAAACCCTAAATAGTGGGAACTCTGTGGTCTAGATTCATGGTTTAGGGCTTGAGGGTCAAGGCCAGAAGAGAAACCTAGGAATTACAAAGGCTGCCCTTTCTGGGTTAAAGGAGCTGAGGCTTCCGATAATTCGGGCTACTGTATTTGGGGGGTCCTTATTATAAGGGAATCCCAGTCTAGATTAGGGGTACCTTTTTTTGTAAACCCCTCATTTAAGGAAACCTTAATCTTAAAAAAAAGGGAACGAAGGCCGACTCTGTGTACTAGAAACTCTTGAAGACCGGAGCCCGAAACCCTAGAATCCTACTCCCTACACCCTACACCCTAAACCCTAAACCCCAATCCTGCTCAAACATGGTTTACAGAAATAGCTTCGGGGGGTCTTGCAAACCCTAAACCCCAATCCCTAAACCCCAAACCCTAAACCCCAAATCCCCAAAACCCCAAATCCCCAAAACCCCAAACCCTAAACCCTATAATTCTATAATTTAGAGAACTACCCATAGGAGGACATGCCTGTGGCGTGAGCACGCGCGCGCCAAAGCCCTCCACCAGGAGCCGCCGAACGCGTTGCGAGTTGCTCTCCTAGTTTGGAGGATAGGGTTTAGGGTTTAGGGTTTAGGGTTTAGGGTTTAGGGTTTAGGGTTTAGGGTTTAGGGTTTAGGGTTTAGGGTTTAGGGTGTAGGGTGTAGGGTGTAGGGTGTAGGGTGTAGGGTGTAGGGTGTAGGGTGTAGGGTGTAGGGGTAAAGGGGTAAAGGTTTAGGGTTTAGGGTTCCCTAAACCCAAAACCCACAGCCCTAAACCCGATTTTAAGGTTTAGGAACGGTATAGGACTTTTGATTGCTTGAGGACTCAATTCATGTTATGTTCCTTCAGCAAGGGGTCAAAGGGTTTCAGGTTTAGGGTAGTGCCAGGGTTGCTACCCTAAACCCTAGACCCTAAACCCTGCTTAAAGGGTGATTAAAGGGCTTTAGTTTCAGGACCTGCATAGGGCCTAAAAGCAGAGGTCATACGGACAGAGCAGACGTCTGGAAGAAGTGGGAAGAGCATAGGGGGTGGGAGGAATCGGCAATACAACAGTCAGTTGTCTATGGAGAAGAGTGAAAGATTTAAGATATAGGGCTTAGGGTTTGGGATGTTCCCCCTTATGCAAAAAGCCCTTGACAGGGAATATAATAGGCGAGCTCTCAGAATTGCACTTGTACATTGGCTAGGTGTATAAACAAGCAGAGGTATCAATATCTCAAGTCATGTTTGGGCATGTAAACAGAGGTACGCATATCAAGAGGGAGACAGGGAGGGAGAGAACGAGAGAGAGAGAGAAAGAGAGAGAGAGAGAGAGAGAGAACGATAAATAAAACAAAGAACAAACGAGAAAGCGACTGTGAAGCACGCGCACTGACCCTGCCAGTGTCAGAGCATTGCAGTTAATTTACCCTTCCTGGGATGTAGATCTAGCGTTTGAAAAAACCCTAAACCCTAAACCCTAAAAGCCCTAAACCCCAAATCCCAAACCCTAAGCCCTTCCTGTGTACCTCATTTCTCCTCCATGCTCTCGGTTGCCAGGAAGACATCCGGGACGCGACCCCTGAGAACCGCGAGGGGAGATCACTGACTAGTGGGGCCATGAATGCAGGCTTGGGTTTTCCATCCAGAAATCCTAAACCCTAAAGCCTAATCTTAAATCCTAAACCCTAAACCCTACACCCTACCCTAACCCCTAAATCCAAACACTAAAACCCTAAACCCAAATCCTAAACCCTAAACCCCAAAAGGAAGGCAAGGCTCCGTGCACCTGCTGATGCAGGTCCCCGTGCTTGTAGGTGTTGATTGCTTCTGCTTTAATGCTCTGGCTACAGGGTATAGTATAGGGTTTAGGGTTTGGGGTTTGGGGTTCTCTCAGGTGCCAGCCTGTGCTTCAACATCGAAAGCATTGCAGCACGCACCGTGTTGCAAAAGATCCGCTCGATGGCAGACTCGTTGTAGCCTGAGTCAGGGACTCGCTGAAGCAGGCAAGGATTCTGGTTTAGGGTTTAGGGTTTAGGGTTTAGGGTTTAGGGTTTAGGGTTTAGGGACTTACCTTACCGGTTCTGAGCAGGGACTTGGCGAATCCTGGGCAATCCCGCAATCAGGCTGGCTGGGCTCTACAGTACAGTTTTGCAGCAGAAATCTCCGGGGTCTAATGCTTGGGATTAAAGACCTCTTGCCCGAAACCGACCATCCTAAACTGCAGTTTCTGGCAGACGTGTGCCACAATTTCTCAAGCTGGGCCATGGGTTTTGCCTTGCGCTGCACCTGAGGTTTAACGTCCTGAGTGGACAGGACCTCAACCTTCAACCCTAATCCCAACCCCTAAACTAAACTCTAAACCCTAAATCCTAAACCCCAAAACCCCAGACTCCAAACCCTAAACCTCAAAGGTGCTTGCAATTCCCTCACAGAGCTCCTCCTACAAGCAGGGGGCCCCTTGCTATACTAATTATAGATAAGGGAGTTCTAACCTCCACAGTTGGGATCCTTATAACCCAATTTAGGTTCCTTACAACTCTACTCGTAACTCGGGAGCTCCTCCTGGCAACTCACCCTGGCCTGCCTTCTTCGCGAAAGAGGTAGGCACGCCTGAGCGAACCGCCGTCCGCCCCAAAACCCTAAACCCTAAACCCTAAACCCTAAACCCTAAACCCCAAACCCTAAACCCTAAACCCTAAACCCCAAACCCAACCCTAAACCCTTCCCAACCTCTAAAGGAGCCAAAAGAAATTGGAAAGAGACCCTCTCCAGGAAGACATAGCCTGCCTGCCCTCTGCACCATCGAGATGTGCAAGGTTTCAGGTTTTGGATTCGGGGGTTCAGGGTTTAGGGCTTAGGGTTTGGCGTTTAGGCTGGAGGCCAAGTTTGCTCAAAGGCCGCCAGACTTGCAAGTGGACTCAGTACAAGTTTTTGCCCCTTCTCGATTGCCAAATCGAGATTCCTAAACCCTACACAAAAATAAGCCTACACCCTAAACACCACTCAGCCAGAAACTCCTGCAACCCTTAGACGGCCCAGCCGCTAGACCCGAAGCCCTAAAGCCCGGGGAGGGTTTAGGGCTCAGGGCTTAGGGCTTAAAGTTCAGAGTTTAGGGAACCCCTAACCCTGGCCCCTAAACCCCTGCCCCGGGCCCAAGGCATGTGAATGGCCAAGTATGGCGAGCGCAGCTTTGTGCCCTCTCCACCTGCATGGCACCGTTTGTTGCGCCCCAAGACCCTGAACCCTTAAAGCCCCGAAACTCTCAAACCCTGCGGCCCTAACCCTTGTAACACTCTAAGCCAACCAACCCCAAAACCCCTAAACCCACACCCGATGAACGCCATGAAGCTCCCGGTTAGGGTAGTTACATAGTCCCTTAGTATGGGCCCTCAAAAGGGGACCCCTGATGCCCTATACAAATTAAGGGCCCAATCATCAGAGCCCCTTGAAGGAGGTTAGGGACCAAATTAAGGGGCCCATGAAACTACCCTTAAGAGTTCAGGTCCTGGGGGGGAGGTACCCAGGCAACCTTAGGGAAGCTTAGGGAGCCTTAGAGAGTAGTGGAGAGTATTCGGGAACCTTGAACCCTAAACCCTAGCCCTAAACCCTAAACCCTCACCGTCCCCCACCCCCCCCATAACCCTATATACCCTAGACCCGCAGGTCGACCCGCAACTCGGCAACAAGCGGGGCGATTCCTCAACCCCAACCCAAACCCTAAACTGCGCTAAGCCCTAAACCCTACACCCTAAACCTTAAACCCTATACCCTAAACCCTAAACCTTAAACCCTAAACCCTAAACCCCAAACCGGTACTTAGGGCCGAGGGGTGAGGGTTTAAAGGAATTCGAGCTATGGAGAGCCTCAACCCTTGCAACCCGGACTCCAAGCACAAAAGCCGGAGCTTTAAGCATTTCACCCAGAGTTGGGGGCCCTAAACCCCTAAACCCTAAAACCTAAATCCCAAACCCTAAACCCCAAACCCCTAATCCCAAAAGGGGGCTTCCGGGAGTGAACTCTAAACCCTAAACCGAATCCCTAAACCAAAGCCCTACAAACCACCAAACCCGAAAGCTTTGTTTAACTAGGATTCCAATCTCAGCTCGGCTCGCATGCGTTTGCGACTCGCACACATGGGGCAAGGACTCCCTAAAAAGTGTTTAGGGTTTAGGGTTGAGGGTTTTGGGTTTAGGGTTTAGGGCTCTCTGCTCACTGCCAGCTGGGACGCATGACTGACAGAATGACGTTTTAGAAGGTTGAGGACGACGCCAACTTCCAGCGGCGCTGCACGCAGGGATTCGCTTAGTCTTGTCGCTTGTTCCCAGTTCTGGAAGCAAAGGATCACATCATCAATGCAGCCCCAAAAACAGGAACCGTGCAAGTTCTCTTCTCCTGCAGCAGTCCATTGTGCTTGCAAGTCGTCAAAGACGGATCCCAACACAGCACTGAACAAGACGCTTGAATGGGTTCCGCCCTGTTGTACTCCTTTGGTTTGTCGAAGCTCACAACACCTATCTCCCCAGTGAAAATGCAAGGACACATCTGTGACGACTTGTGTGAGCCTTGCTGCTTCCAACTAAAACTCACTGGAGTCTTCG